ATGGGACTGCTGGAAGTATGTAATATATATGGGTGCTCTCCCACTTTTAGACACACCGCTGACCCAAGGAGGGCCCCTGGGTGCATTGCTTTGGCGTTATTTAGAGCTCTGGGAAAGGCAAGGTTAAATAAATACACCACCTATTTATTACATTTCCAGTCTCATAGCAATTTTAAGAAGGTAACGGAGAGTAATATCCAACAGGAAATCATAAGTTGGGGTGTTGTGCTGACTGACTGCTCTCTTCTCCTATTGGCTGTAATTTGGTGGGTTACAAAAATAGTCCACCAATCATAGCTCAGCATGGGACTGCTGGAAGTATGTAATATATATGGGTGCTCTCCCACTTTTAGGCACACCGCTGACCCAAGGAGGGCCCCTGGGTGCATTACTTTGGCGTTATTTAGAGCTCTGGGAAAGGCAAGGTTAAATAAATACACCACCTATTTATTACTTTTCCAGTCTCATAGCAATTTTAAGAAGGGAACGGAGAGTAATATCCAACAGGAAATCATAAGTTGGGGTGTTGTGCTGACTGACTGCTCTCTTCTCCTATTGGCTGTAATTTGGTGGGTTACAAAAATAGTCCACCAATCATAGCTCAGCATGGGACTGCTGGAAGTATGTAATATATATGGGTGCGCTACCACTTTTAGGCACACCGCTGACCCAAGGAGGGCCCCTGGGTGCATTACTTTGGCGTTATTTAGAGCTCTGGGAAAGGCAAGGTTAAATAAATACACCACCTATTTATTACATTTCCAGTCTCATCGCAATTTTAAGAAGGTAACGGAGAGTAATATCCAACAGGAAATCATAAGTTGGGGTGTTGTGCTGACTGACTGCTCTCTTCTCCTATTGGCTGTAATTTGGTGGGTTACAAAAATAGTCCACCAATCATAGCTCAGCATGGGACTGCTGGAAGTATGTAATATATATATGGAGTGCGCTACCACTTTTTAGCACACTGCTGACCCAAGGAGGGCCCCTGGGTGCATTACTTTGGCGTTATTTAGAGCTCCTGGGAAAGGCAAGGTTAAATAAATACACACTATTATTACATTTCCAGTCTCACATAATTTAAGAAAGGTAACGAAGTAATATCAACAGGAAATCATAAATCGAGGTGTTGTGCTGACTCTCTTCTCTATTAATGGTGCATGGGTTACAAATAGTCCACCAATCATAGCTCAGCATGGGACTGCTGGAGTAATGTAATATATGGATGCTTCTACTTTTAGGCACACATGACCCAAGGAGGCCCTGGGTGCATTACTTGGTATTTAGAGCTCTGGGAAGGCAAGGTTAAATAAATACACCACCTATTTATTCTTTTCAGCGTCTCATAGCAATTTTAAGAAGGGAACGGAGAGTAATATCCAACAGGAAATCATAAGTTGGGGTGTTGTGCTGACTGACTGCTCTCTTCTCCTATTGGCTGTAATTTGGTGGGTTACAAAAATAGTCCACCAATCATAGCTCAGCATGGGACTGCTGGAAGTATGTAATATATATGGGTGCTCTCCCACTTTTAGGCACACCGCTGACCCAAGGAGGGCCCCTGGGTGCATTGCTTTGGCGTTATTTAGAGCTCTGGGAAAGGCAAGGTTAAATAAATACACCACCTATTTATTACATTTCCAGTCTCTAGCAATTTTAAGAAGGTAATGGAGAGTAATATCCAACAGGAAATTAAGGGGTTAGTAAGTAAAGGACTGACTGCTTTCTTCTCCTATTGGCTGTAATTTGGTGGGTTACAAAAATAGTCCACCAATCATAGCTCAGCATGGGACTGCTGGAAGTATGTAATATATATGGGTGCGCTACCACTTTTAGGCACACCGCTGACCCAAGGAGGGCCCCTGGGTGCATTACTTTGGCGTTATTTAGAGCTCTGGGAAAGGCAAGGTTAAATAAATACACCACCTATTTATTACATTTCCAGTCTCATCGCAATTTTTAGAAGGTAACGGAGAGTAATATCCAACAGGAAATCATAAGTTGGGGTGTTGTGCTGACTGACTGCTCTCTTCTCCTATTGGCTGTAATTTGGTGGGTTACAAAAATAGTCCACCAATCATAGCTCAGCAAGGGACTGCTGGAAGTATGTAATATATATGGGTGCGCTTACCACTTTGTAAGCACACACCGGCTGACCCATAAGGAGGGCCCCTGCGTGCTACTATGTTATTTAGAGCTCGTGGGAAAGGCAAGGTAAATATATACACCCACCTATTTATTACATTTCCAGTCTCATCGCAATTTTAAGGGGTAACGGAGAGTAATATCCAACAGGAAATCATAAGTTGGGGTGTTGTGCTGACTGACTGCTCTCTTCTCCTATTGGCTGTAATTTGGAGGGTTACAAAAATATTCCACCAATCATAGCTCAGCATGGGACTGCTGGATGTATGTAATATATATGGGTGAGCTACCACTTTTAGGCACACCGCTGACCCAAGGAGGGCCCCTGGGTGCATTACTTTGGCGTTATTTAGAGCTCTGGGAAAGGCAAGGTTAAATAAATACACCACCTATTTATTACATTTCCAGTCTCATAGCAATTTTAAGAAGGTGTTTAGAGTAACATCCAACAGAAATCATAGTTGTGTTGTTGACTGACTGCTCTCTTCTCCTATTGGCTGTAATTTGGTGGGTTACAAAAATAGTCCACCAATCATAACTCAGCATGGGACTGCTGGAAGTATGTAATATATATGGGTGCGCTCCCACTTTTAGGCACACCGCTGACCCAAGGAGGGCCCCTGGGTGCATTACTTTGGTGTTATTTAGAGCTCTGGGAAAGGCAAGGTTAAATAAATACACCACCTATTTATTACATTTCCAGTCTCATAGCAATTTTAAGAAGGGAACGGAGAGTAATATCCAACAGGAAATCATAAGTTGGGGTGTTGTGCTGACTGACTGCTCTCTTCTCCTATTGGCTGTAATTTGGAGGGTTACAAAAATATTCCACCAATCATAGCTCAGCATGGGACTGCTGGATGTATGTAATATATATGGGTGAGCTACCACTTTTAGGCACACCGCTGACCCAAGGAGGGCCCCTGGGTGCATTACTTTGGCGTTATTTAGAGCTCTGGGAAAGGCAAGGTTAAATAAATACACCACCTATTTATTACATTTCCAGTCTCATAGCAATTTTAAGAAGGTAACGGAGAGTAATATCCAACAGGAAATCATAAGTTGGGGTGTTGTGCTGACTGACTGCTCTCTTCTCCTATTGGCTGTAATTTGGTGGGTTACAAAAATAGTCCACCAATCATAGCTCAGCATGGGACTGCTGGAAGTATGTAATATATATGGGTGCGCTACCACTTTTAGGCACACCGCTGACCCAAGGAGGGCCCCTGGGTGCATTACTTTGGCGTTATTTAGAGCTCTGGGAAAGGCAAGGTTAAATAAATACACCACCTATTTATTACATTTCCAGTCTCATAGCAATTTTAAGAAGGTAACGGAGAGTAATATCCAACAGGAAATCATAAGTTGGGGTGTTGTGCTGACTGACTGCTCTCTTCTCCTATTGGCTGTAATTTGGTGGGTTACAAAAATAGTCCACCAATCATAGCTCAGCATGGGACTGCTGGAAGTATGTAATATATATGGGTGCGCTACCACTTTTAGGCACACCGCTGACCCAAGGAGGGCCCCTGGGTGCATTACTTTGGCGTTATTTAGAGCTCTGGGAAAGGCAAGGTTAAATAAATACACCACCTATTTATTACATTTCCAGTCTCATAGCAATTTTAAGAAGGTAACGGAGAGTAATATCCAACAGGAAATCATAAGTTGGGGTGTTGTGCTGACTGACTGCTCTCTTCTCCTATTGGCTGTAATTTGGTGGGTTACAAAAATAGTCCACCAATCATAGCTCAGCATGGGACTGCTGGAAGTATGTAATATATATGGGTGCGCTACCACTTTTAGGCACACCGCTGACCCAAGGAGGGCCCCTGGGTGCATTACTTTGGCGTTATTTAGAGCTCTGGGAAAGGCAAGGTTAAATAAATACACCACCTATTTATTACATTTCCAGTCTCATAGCAATTTTAAGAAGGTAACGGAGAGTAATATCCAACAGGAAATCATAAGTTGGGGTGTTGTGCTGACTGACTGCTCTCTTCTCCTATTGGCTGTAATTTGGTGGGTTACAAAAATAGTCCACCAATCATAGCTCAGCATGGGACTGCTGGAAGTATGTAATATATATGGGTGCGCTACCACTTTTAGGCACACCGCTGACCCAAGGAGGGCCCCTGGGTGCATTACTTTGGCATTATTTAGAGCTCTGGGAAAGGCAAGGTTAAATGAATACATCACCTATTTATTACATTTCCAGTCTCATAGCAATTTTAAGAAGGGAACGGAGAGTAATATCCAACAGGAAATCATAAGTTGGGGTGTTGTGCTGACTGACTGCTCTCTTCTCCTATTGGCTGTAATTTGGTGGGTTACAAAAATAGTCCACCAATCATAGCTCAGCATGGGACTGCTGGAAGTATGTAATATATATGGGTGCGCTACCACTTTTAGGCACACCGCTGACCCAAGGAGGGCCCCTGGGTGCATTACTTTGGCGTTATTTAGAGCTCTGGGAAAGGCAAGGTTAAATAAATACACCACCTATTTATTACATTTCCAGTCTCATAGCAATTTTAAGAAGGTAACGGAGAGTAATATCCAACAGGAAATCATAAGTTGGGGTGTTGTGCTGACTGACTGCTCTCTTCTCCTATTGGCTGTAATTTGGTGGGTTAAAAAAATAGTCCAATCATAGCTCAGCAAGGGACTGCTGGAAGTATGTAATATATATTACACAATGGATAAGCATGACACAGGGTCCCAGAAGACCTTTGGTAGGGCCTCTAGGAAAGTCCCTGTGGTTGCCGCCGCATCTGGGAGGGTCCCTCGGGTCGCCGCTGCTTCTGGGAGGGTCCCTAGAGGATCAGCCGCCTGTGGGAGGGTCTTTGTGGGCAGGGCAGCCCCTGGGAGGGGTCCTTGGGGGCACCGCCGCCCCTGGGAGGGTGCTGGAGTACTGCCACCCCTGGAAGCGTCAGCGCCCCTGGGAGAGTTCCAGGCGCCGCTGCCGCCCTTGCAATGGCCTCTGGGCGCGCTGATGACCCAATGAGGGCCCCGAGGAGTGCCAGAAATGTAAGGCCCTTGGGTGCAGTAGTTTTTATTCTATTTAGAACTCTGGCAGGTGCAACGTTAAATAAATACACCACCCATCACTTTTCCAGTCTCATCTCATTCTGAAGAAGGTAATAGAGAGTAGTATCCAACAGCAAATCATAAGTTGTGGTGTTGTGCTGACTGACTGCTCTCTTCTCCTATTGGCTATAATTTGGTGGGTTGAAAAAATAGTCCACCAATCATAGCTCACCAAGGGACTGCTGGAAGTATGTAATATATATGACACAACGAACAAGCATGACATAGGGTCCAGGAGGACCTTTGGTAGGGCCCCTAGAAGGGTTCCTGTGGTTGCCGCTGCCTCTGGGAGAGTCCCTCGGATCGCCGCACCTTTTGGGAGGGTCCCTTGGGGAGCCGCTGCCTCTGGGAGGGTCTTTGTGGACGCGGCGGCTCTTGGGTAGGTCTTTGGGGGTAGCACCATCCCTTGGAGGTTCCCTGAGGACGTCGTCTCCCCTGGGAGGGACCCTGGGAGCACGGCAATTCCTAGGAGGGTCTGTGGAGGTGCCACCGCTTCTAATAGGGTCCCTGGGGTCGTCGCCTCCCTTGAGTGGCCCCTGGGGTGTCCCTGGAGGCGTCGCCGCCCCTGAGTTGGCTCCTGCGAGGCTCCTTGTGGGCGCTGCAGACCCTGGGATTTTCCCTGAGGGCGCAACCTCTTCTGGGAGTATCCCTGGGGGCGACTGCGCCCCTGAGTGGGCACTCATGGAGCCACCATTCCAGGGAAGGCCCCTGGGGAATGCCACACCACTAGGAGTGCCCTTGGGAGCGCCACCATCGCTCGGATGGCCCCTGGGGGTGCCGCCATTGCTGAGAGTTCCCCCTTGAGGCGCTGCTGCCCCTGGAAGGGTGCTGGAGGCTCCGCCACCTTTAGAAGGGTCCCTTGAGGTGTCGTCGCCCCTGGGAGAGTTCCTGGGTGCGCTACCGCTTCTAAGCACACAGCTGACGCAAGGAAGGCCCCTGGGTGCATTAGTTTGGCGTTATTTAGATCTCTGGGAAAGGCAACGTTAAATATATACACCACCTGTTACATTTCCAGTCTCATCGCATTTTTAAGAAGGTAACGGAGAGTAATATCCAACAGGAAATCATAAGTTGGGTGTTTTGCTGACTGACTGCTGCTCTCTTCTCCTACTTGCTGTAATTTGGTGGGTTAAAAGAAAAGTTCACCAATCATAGCTCAGCAAGGGACTGCTGGAAGTATGTAATATATATTACATAACGAACAAGCATGCCAAAGGGTTCCGGGGTAAACCTTGGTAGGGCCCCTAGGAGGGTCCCTTGGGGTGCCGCCGCTTCAGGGAAGGTCCCTAAGAGATTTCATAATCAAAAGGTTGACTTAAACTTTGGTGCTATAAGTAATTTTATTGTTATCAACTAAATGTAACTTAATGAATGAAAAATACATCATCACAACATATGATTATTGTTAAAGATATCCTATAATTCTCACCTTAATTCTGGAGAGGAATGTTCCTCTTACTAACTCAAAAAATAAGTGTGATATGTGTCATATTCTTGGAAGTGATTCTGCCATACACATCAGCATCCATCCCCTGAGTGATGATATACAGTACTGTATTGTATAGTATTTTAGCGAATGAAGAATAATATAATATAATGTAATTATGTAATATAATGCAGTGTAATATAGTTAACAGATGCCTAAATTGTTGTAACTAGCCATTCTGCTCATGTAACTGTTGTTGAGGCGGCTGGCTGATGTGGTTAAACTTGGTTCGAGATTTAAGCCGAGACATCTTCGTTCAGTCAGCCGGTATTTAGTATATACTGTACTCGTGGGCGGCCTTGGAACGGCCACTCACTCTCGCTCCGTGCTAGAGCACAGTTCTCCTAGCCACACCAATAAACTGGTAAACGTAGTCTGTGTTTTCCTGGACCAAATACTACAGTATACAATATTGTATACTGTATACAAAAAGTTAGGGATGGCCATTTAATGCAAGTTCTATACATTATTACTAATGAGTAAAACCAATGGGAGTTACTCACAATAGTACCCTCATAATTAGTCAATACTGTACTACCATGGCTGTGGTTTGCTGGGTAGTTACTCACTCTGGAAAATGTCATTTCATTTGTTGAGAAGTACAGTACAGTACACTGTATTAAAAAAAATGCCACTTGTTTATCTTAGCTCAACTGTTAGGTCCAGTCTCACATGCAGAACAAATTGATTTATGGTCTTTTCATTAATAATTATTTGTAAACTAAATGAAGTTAAAATTAATACTGTACATTACAGCAAAATTAAAACAATTATATGTGGAATTTTCTATTTATTAGCTTGCCTCAAGTTAAAAAACTCTTCTGGACAATGTGAGTGGGTCCAGGTCCCATACACCTGATGGTATATTAGGATAGTGAAAATACAAAGTCTTTAGAAGACAAGAAGGCAAGTGTGTCTAGCACTGCATTAAACTGCCTTCACTTCCACAGCTGTGAAGTACTAAAGTATCCTTTGCACATCTGAGTGAACTGGGGGTGCCCCAGGAAATAAACCTAAGGATAGGGGTCAAACACTGTAGCCATATGGCATAATCCCATTAGTGAACCTAGCAACTGATAGAAATGTCTTCCGTTTACTTATTTCCTCTTCACCACTCATCGGCTCGTTAGCCGTTTGGGCTAATAATTGAGAGAAAGTAAGGACATGAAATTCAGAAAATACAATAATATATATGAAATAAGAATTGAAGTAAAGAAAAGAATAATGACTTAGAAAATATATGAAGCAAGTACAGGAGTATAGAAAATAAAATAAATAAAATAAATTTGAAGTAAAGTAAAAGTAAGTAAGTACATATACCAAATTATGTCAACATCTCAGAAGTTGGAGCTAAATTCATACCACACCAAGTCAATTTTGCTTCATTTTACTCGTAATTGGCATAAAGTTTACTGAAGTTTTCTCAGCAGGACATTATGAAGCACTAAATAACATTTTCGGACATCACTGCCACTCTTTTAGCAAACAAAAGTATAGGATGACACCAAATAAGTTTCATTGACAAATATGTTCACAGAAGTGTTTCTTTGCCAATTGCCAAAGATATTTGAAGTAGAATACCTTGATTAAATGGAATTATATGGCACAGGAAAAAAACATTGTGACAGAAAAGGAATTATCCCCAGATACAGTCATGCATTAATGGAAGAAGTATGGTTATGGCAATATCAAATGTAGCTTAGCAAAGCAGTGACTTTCAAATTATTTATAAAGGAAGGAAACAATATTATATCCCTGTGAATATGCAGCACTGATAATTTTCTGATAAGGTCATTACAGTATATTGAAAAATGACCTTGTCTACAGTACAGTATGTCCCACTAAATTTCCTGTATGCTGTATCCTGAAAGATACTGGTAAGAGTTGTTTATGAGAATAAGGTTTTAAGTAACTGGGAGTTTTAAGGAAACTGGCATTGATTTTTTTAGTAAACGTTGTGCATGTTGTCAAAATTTCTGACAACAGTTTAGCCTGACCACTTTTATCTTTTGTCCCAGAGAGAGGGTGTCAGAGGGTGATCATGTAACAGAGTCCAAAGCATTTTTAAGTTTTCACTGTAGCATAATCACATGACAATTGCACTTAATAGAGATATTCAATATACCGTATGCTTAGATGATCACTAAAAATCAGCTACTTTAACAAAGTACTGTAATCTATTCGTGTATTAATAAGTAAGTTGGAACTTTCAAATCCTAATATTATCTGGTATATAAAGCAGGAAAAATGTAACATAAAATTGATACATTCTGTAAAATCATTAAATAGAAATGAAAAACAAAAAGATACAATACAGAACCAGTTAAAATGAAAGTGGTGTTTGAAGGTGTCCAATAATTTCTTACCTGAAGAATCCAAATTAACAGTCCAATGCTATTATGATACAGTATACTTTTATCTCCATATTTTTTATCAACAAAAGGAAATGTGATGAACATACTAATATAATCAGGATTGCTTTAAAAAAAAAAAACTCATAAGAAATATTTTTTCACCATTATTTGCATAAGTAGCTCTCACACCTTACAGGCGTACCAACAGGACAAACAGTTAGTACAGTAGTGTACATTAGTACTGTACAGTATAAGAAAATTAAATGGTAATACCTGTATAACATATTATTCACCTCATAAAAATTACGGAGGATTTAGATCACATCTTATTATAACTATGGAATAAGTACACATCATAACACCGTGTATTATCAGCTATCCAGGTACAGGGGGTCCTCATCACCCATGGTTAATAGTGACCAGAAAAAACACTGATAGTGAAACCACTTATAAAGGGGAATTAATTCCCATAAGAGTCCAATCAGGACCATTACACTGTAAATGATGCTCAAAAAGTTTTATTTGATATCTTTTAACATTTAGATACCCTAGAAATATTTGTTAAATATTTAATTACACAATTGTAGCATCGTTTGCTAGACTTGCAAATCTCAGTGAAGGCTAACTTTTTAGGAATGAGAATTGTGAACACATGGAACAACCTGCCAGAAAGTGTTGTGATGGCACCGAGTGTGAGCTGTTGCAAGACTAGACGTGACCAGCACTGGAGCAGGTTCAGATACATTCAGGAGCCAATGCATGTCCAGTACTTGCCAACAGTGCATAACAGAGACGTGACCAATCGCCCAAGCAGCAAAAGAGCCAATCAGTGGTGGAGAGGATAAAAGTAAAAAGTAAGTAAAAGTATACATGCGACACAGTTCATCCAGGCAGTCACCAAGCTGACTCAAGAGACATGTATGGCTGATGTCTAAATGCCATGATGTTTCATCCTCTCCAATGAACTTTGAGAGAATGGGAAGCGAGTGGGAATTTTAAACGCTTATGCTCCCGACTGACGGATTTCATCCATGGAATCCTAGGTAAATTCGGGGAATTTTTACATATGCAGTAATTCTAAATAATTTAGCCTTGTAACTGTGAATCCACGAATAATACACTTATAACGGAGACCCCCTGTACAGTAACAACAAACTGCTTATACATACACAGCAAAATTAAAGCTAATAGTATATATGAGAACACACAAAATTATGACATCATTTAAAGAAAAAAAAATGGTATGCTTATCATATTTACATACTGTATGTACTGTACAGTACTCCATACTGCAGGTCTATACTGTACAGTATATCTTTATCATTAGCCTGTAACAGTCCTTTGCTGGATGAACTCTTCATTATGATTTAATAATATTAAATATTCCATCTCTACTGTCTACTGAGTACCGTACTGTACTGTACAACTTCCTAATTTCATTTCTTGTAAAAACCAGTGGTGGATTTCCTTAATCAACTGCTTCTTTTTCTTCTTGCAAGATACCCAAGCCACTTCATATATACTGTACTGTACTGTATACATACCAAGACAAGTACACTGTTAATAACACTTAACAATTCATCCACTCCTGTTGGTTTCATGCATACAACATAAAGCAGTTAATGAGTTGTAACTCTAATTTCCTTTAGAAAGCATAGTGCCCTATGATACGGTACTTAGAAATTCTCATTTACACTGCAGCTGCTGAGACAAAGAGAAAACAAGTGACTACTCAGCAGGTATAACAGGCAGGTCTAAGGTTTTGGACCTATTATCTTTAACTTCCATGTGGGGTGTCATGTTAAAGCTAATGATCTTGAGTCCCAAAAAGCCTCCAGAACCAGGCTGACCTTTGTGAAACAGCTCCAAACCAGACCACCAAGAGCTGGGAGAAGGGGACACAGTCTGTGCATCAAAGAAAGGCACAGTCAGCTGAGCAACATCCTTCCCCCTGTCTGTGGGTCCAAAACGTACAAAAGTGTCTGACACTGAATCCACCTTAGAAAGCCCTGGGAATTTAGTTGGGTCATCAGGAGAGTTTATCTTCAATTCTCTCCTTGGGTTTCTAGCCATTGCCGGTGTATTGTCATTACTGATCCAGTAGCTCTTGTAAGGCTGCAGTTGACCTGTTGTGTAGTTCACAGGAGTAATTTGTACCTGAGGCAAATAATAAAAACAAAATGAAGAAGTTTCTTGGAACACACTTCAAATTTTGACAGTCCTGTCTAGGTAGTAACTGTCATTATGCTTAAATTAATTGCAGGCAGTAAGTTTATTTTATTATTATGCATCTGTAAGCTAAGGAAGAACCTCTGTACCATGGCAAAAGTAAGGGCACTTACAGTACTGTATTTTTTTTCCTTTGGAAGATTATTTGGTACAGAGTATACCGGGTAGGTATAATTTGAAAATAAAAAGTAAATCAATCAAGTGTTATGCTATTCATTCTGCCAGAGAATTTGTGTATACTTTGTAATCTACGGTACATGGCTGTGGAATTATGGGTTACTGAAAAAATGTGTAATGCACAACAGGATACAGTATAGTACTAAATTTCACGGCAGAATTGAAGAATGTCATTCTTAAGTTTTATTCTTATGATCTAAACAATACAGTACTGTGCATACATTATGCAATCATACAGCACATACTGCAGAAAGTGTGCAGTAAATAGTAATACAACATTCAAATTTCATTTCTGTAGCATGGTAATTTTATTGTCAACATTACAGGCACCACAAAATTCTGGGCACAGCCAGTATATGTTGTCAACAGTGACAAGACATGGAAAAACAATGTGATTATAATTTTCTCAGGTTCTGGCCATAGAAACTGAGGCCAAAATGTATGAGATATACAGGTGAGCAGTGGGCATGTAAGCTCATAGGCAAACTAGTGAATTTTGTGTTTTAATTATCAGTTAATATACTGTATACAGTACTTTGATCAAATCTTCTTTGACTTTGCTTCAGCAAACTTGTTGTAGCTAAACATTAGTTTCTAATACATTAGACTAACAGCAAAGGCCATATGTATCCCACACTGGAAACTGTTTGTGTTGTACAACTTGAAATCACACTTATCTCCAACTGTTGATCTTAATTCAGAAAAAAAGAGACCCTTGTCCTCTTACTGTCTGTCTGACAGAACTACAGGGCCCTACCCCCTTGGTATGTTCCATGTTTTTCTTTTTGAAAATAGTAATGTACAGAATATTGCTTTCATGCAGTACTGTACTTCTGAAGGCAACATCTATTATCAAGGGTAGAAATTTTGTTGTGACCGGCCAGGATAAACACAATCTTCTGGTGTCCAAACCTCCCTTCCTGAGAGAGTTGGAATCCCTGTTCTCTCGTGTTGTTCTACCCAAGAGAACCTGAATATCTATGTTCCATGCTGCTCAAAAAAAAAAATAAATAAAATGGTCAGTTGCCCTTGTCTTGAAATCCTGGGCTTCATTACCAACCACCCTGCTCCTCCTACCGTGAAATGCAAGTTTCTTAGAAAATTTCTCTCATACTTAAAGAGGCATAGGATATACTGCCTTTATATACTGCACTTACCTCAAGATTGATATGAGAGCCAAGCATCCGGAAACGGACTCCAGTAACAACATGATCCCCAACTGACACCAGGCGGTCTAAGTCAATGCTACGATTCTCAAATGATAATTTCTTGTAATGTATTCCCTCTATATAAGCAGTGCTGTTGAGATAAAGTTCAATCATTAAAAACAATACATTAAGTATCTAAATGAACAAAACAAATTACATGTAGTACTGTGCTGTATTTACAGTCTAAAAACTCCTCCAAAATGAGGTATGTGGAGCTCTTACATACAATTGCCAATATTCTATATGCATTTTCCTTCTGTCTAGAAGAATGGTTCATACACCCTCTTACGCCAATTAAATACAATTTAAAACCACAGGTCATCATCAAATGACCTGTAAGACCTTAGTCACTGAACACTCATGCTGTGCCCTTTAGAGATGATAGGTAAACTATCTAAGATGACTAAGCTGGAAGATAATGTTCCTCTATGAATCACCTTTCTACAGGTTGACAATCCCTTATCCGAAATCCTTGGAGCCAGAGGCTTTTTGGTTTTCAGAATGGCTATTTCTTTTTTTTTTTTTTAAGCCTACCCGGGCACAAGTCACTGACCCACATTGGGGCCTGGGGGGGGCGAAAATATAATAAAAATTACAGTATAGTAATAATAACAATTCATAGGTCTAGGTCGTGTTTCTCACTTTTGACCTTTTTCTCATTCTTGTATTTCCTTATTATTATTATTATTATTTTATTATTACAGTATTATTATTATTAATTTTATTATTATATATTATTATTATTATTACAGTGACCCCTCCGTTAACGAACTCAATCCGTTCCAGAAGGTCGTTCGTTAACCGAAAAGTTCGTTAACCGAAACCATTGTTTCAATGGGTTTTTGGGTAATTGGTTCCAGCTCACCAAAAATGTCCTAAATTCAACAAAAATGGTAAAAAAGTTCACTTACTTTGAGGTGTGTATGTAGAAGGCTCCTGGATGATGATGATGGGATTTAGAATGGGGGTGGAGGAGAAGGAAGAAGAGAAGGCATTGGGGTGGAAGAGAAGTCACCCCATGGCACCATTTCACCCATAAAATTTTAGCTCTCTGGTGTAATTCAAGATTATCTTCTTTAAATCAACACTGCACTGCATTAAATATTGTCAATATGTAAAATATATTTCAAAATGACCAATAATTTGCTTGGAAACACAGAAAAAAAAGCGTTTAGTTGAAGAGAGTCTCAAGCAAGATGTTACCTCCAGTGAAAACAGAGAGAGACTAACTCCTGTTTGCTGTGTTGAGAGGCTGGATGCCGCGCATTAAACTAGTCACTTTACCTTCAATTATGTTCAATAATTAACTGTTAAAATGACTAAAAAACTGAATATTAAACTTTTGAAATTATTGAATAGTATAAACTTCTTGATATTTACTAAAATAGTAAGGAATTTAAGCCCTAGAACCGATTAATGTATTGGCGGACTGATACTAAAGCTGGTTGCCCGGTCAGTGCAAGCGAAAACATGTTGAGGTCGGTTCGTAAGAACTTCGTGAACCGAATTTTTTTCGTTAACCGAATTGAAGATCCTTATGGAAGGCAGTTCGTTAATCAAAATTACGTCAACTGAGGTGTTCGTTAAACGAGGGGTCACTGTACTATTATTATTATTGTTATCATTATTATTTTATTTTGGTGTATTTTTTATTAAAATTTATATTTACTATGAATAATTATTATAATTATTATTACTATTACATTTTCGCCCCCCAGGCCCCGATGTGGGTCAGTGATCTATGCCCGGGTGGGCTAATCCCTGTTTAAAAAAAAAAAGCCTCCCCAATTTTTTTTTCGGTTTTTAGAGCTTTTCGGTTTTTGGAATTTCGTATAAAGGGTTGTCAACCTGTAATTCAGTTAATTCATTATTGTATACAATACCTGTACATCTCATATGAAATAGTGGGTGACTTTGACCCATTTGTATTTATTAAGTCAATATCACCAACTTGGATTAATGTGCTCATGCATTTCAGACTCTTTTTCAAAGATAAGAGTACAATTTAGCAGAGTCAAGTGAGATAAAGTGTTAAGAATAGCAAGTTGCTTTTATGGGAATATCAGTCCTAGAGTTTGCCAAAATATTTTCAGATACCAGAGTTTTAAAGGTACTGTACCCTACAGTGATGCCTAATTGCCATCTACCAGGCAGCTCTAATAATACATGATGACTAAAAGGGGGTACTTGAATCCTCATATAGGCCCCCTATCAAACAAAGCTAACCTTTTATCCAAAAGGGTAAACTGACCACCCTTCTCTCCCTACTGCACTGTCAGTTTAAAGTGAAGGGCATATGCAATGGTTAAATTCCTCTACTTACTAGCATGACTAGCTTGTAAGCTGACAAGTAACAAAAAATTTTAAACATAATGAATAAATTCATAGACGAGGTGTACTACCTGATAATGCTGATAGGCTCCACATCAACCCACTCTACTGTTGAACTGTTGACCTGCCCTTGGGGAAGAGCTTGACCTTGACGTACCTGAAGATGAATCACTCTTCTCTGCTTGATAAACTGAATTCCTGTCACTACCTGCAAAGTTAATACTGTAAATGGAGGTGCCTCATCAGCAGTATAAATTAAATATTTAATTAAGAATAACGGTACCTATATGAGGAAATAAAGTATCCTCTTATTCCACAGTGACTGGTGGTAATCAATAGATCCCTGACTCCCTTCATCTTTCTAATGTGTAACTCACACCTCCTGTGAAAATGTCCTGAACCTGATTCCCAGTAAATCTTCTCACTAATCTCCAACTTTCCCGAGGAATGGCACATATCTCCAGCACTTCATCTGTTTAGGATAAAATCAGCACAAGGCTTATTGACACTGAGATTACACTTGGGCCTTACAGTTACTGGTGGTGTGTAACATAAAACTTGATGCTTTTTCACAAACCTTGTTTTTCAAGAGTTTACACACATAAGGTCTTAACAGAAGTGTGCTAAATTAGCAGTCTAAGGGAGCCATCTTACTAGATGCCATAAGTAACCAATTCAACATCTCTATAGTTTCAATCCATTGTTTTCAAAGGGTGTTTTCCTTCATCCCAACCTCAATGGTAACAGTCCATCCCAGCCATATGATCATAATACCAGTTGCAAACTTCGATTATTTTTTTCAGTTGGATTGATTTTGAGACTAGAGAACTGGTTGCAGAGACAAGACAAAAACAAAAAAGCTAAGAGGAGAAGAAAACTTGAGAGAAAGAAATGGATTAGTTAAAAAGAGATTAAGCATGTGCTCAGTTTGTCTAGCAATTTTTATCATTTGTATAAGATTAAACGAGGTGGAATCGTACTCCCCCTCCACATCGCCTATAGTTCAGTGCAAGTGGAGTAACTAAGCTAGTCTGTGTTGCCAATATTGAAATCCTTCAACATTATGAGTTCAGTTGAGAAATCAGGATGAATATTGTGTTTACTGTATCATCAATGAGAGAGTCAACAGACCAGGTACTAGAGGAGAGGAGCATGAGTAGGCATTTAGCAGCACCAGGAGAAGAGAGGAGCTTGTAAATGAAGTCAAACTGAGAAGACAAGCCAGAGATTCTATTAAAAGAAATATCAAGACTTTGTAGAGTAGCAAAGACCCCCAATGCTTCTGAGATTTAAAAAGAGATTGTAACCTGGAAATTTTATGTGATATGGTAGAGAAAAGGGAGAAATTTTAATAAGGAACAGTAAATATGGTTTATCTTACTGTAACAGAATTGGTGCTTTTAGATGTCACCCTTATCCTTTCCAGTGTTTTTGTTTATCAGTACAGTATAAGTAAGGGTAAACTGCTTTCTTTATGGTGTAGCTTAAATTGCAAACAAAAATCTTGACTAAATATTTCAAGTACTGTGCTGCATTGTTTAAAACTGTCAATGATACTGTACATGGAAATTATATCACTGGAAATTCATCACATGACATTCATTTGGAATATAACAGGTAAGGAAGCAACAGAGACACAGAAAGATATGTACTGGTATGCTATTTCCCCTCAAGTGTTCTTACCTTGTTGTTGCGTGTGTCACTGAGGGCAGGAACCAGGCTGATGTAGCGGTCAGTTGTGGGAGATTCACCATCATCACAAAGACAAAGGCAATAGGAACAGTGGAAAAAAAATCTCCACCATGAATCAATTTTCATTTCACTTCCTTCACACTGTTGAGTAGGTCCCAGTAAATGACGATTCTCATATCTGACATAGTCATACCGACGGTAAGGATTTCTAGACAAACATGCCCAAGCATCTGCATCATAAAATTGACAGTCATGTATGGTGCCCCTGCAGCGACGATGCTGACCACAGTACTGGGATTGAGGCATGTAGCACCCTTCATTCTTGGTGTGCTGGTAGTACCCACAGTTGTTGGAACAAGACCCTCCTGAATTCATATCCACTTCATTCTCAATATAACCCTAAAAAAGTAAAATAATCAGTAAAACTGATAAAATAAATAGTAAAACGACAGTGAACACGAAAGTAATATCATTTACATCACATTTTATGACCTTTTGGTCACCATAAGTTACCCAATGTTTTTGTTTTTTGGGTTTAAACCATTTGGTTTAAATTGGCCAACTATGAATTAACAGCTTTAATGAATATTATTATTATCATCATTTTGGAAAGACTCCATACATTCCCATCACATTCTTTACATATGTTGCATTCTGGTAAAGTAACCTCTAAAATATTTTTTCCTGTATGTACAGTATACCAAATAGTTTTTACCAATCCTTGTGTATATATTAAAGATTCCATATTCTTACCTGCATAAGTTCTGTTATCTGTACATATGTTTCACCCTCAACATGCTCCCGTGGATCACACTTGTAGAACTCCCGTGATTCATGGAGCAGCACTGCCTTGGCCTCTCTCATTATGTCTTCTGAATATTGTAGAAACAGTCTTTCTGATACTTCTTGCTCCACTGTAAAATTACCTGCAATGTGGAGAAGGTGACAATAAAATCAGAATTAATATAAATAATTTACAGGCAGGGTCTATGGATAATTGTGAGTAACCTGAGATGTACTGATGGTAAGTAACTCCATGGTAAAGCCAGATTATAAGGGTTAAACATGGCACAAATATTATTTACAAAACCAACTAGTCAAGTCTATCTTAACTTCACTTAGGGTAATCTGATCAAGCTTAATTTTACATTCAGTTAAAAAATCAAGTCCCACTGAACCAGTACCCGATGAACGAGAATTTAATTTAATGAACATACCATATTGGTTTAGGGTATGAAAATTCAATGAACAAGCCTGTATTCAACTTAATAAGAAAAGTTTTGAGTGATCCAGCTCACTCTGCCATTTGTGGAGTCAGGCTAGTCAACCTCTGTCTTTGTTTGAGCACCAGCCAAACTAGTGAATTCATTGACTCATTTTCTAAACTATGAGGTGAAGTTAGAGACAGGTTAATCCTCAGAACACATAATGGATTCTAACCATATGTACTGCCCTGACAATGTCTCAAAAACAACTGCAGAAATGATGGTGCTGATTGTAGTCTTGCACAAAGAAAATATATAAAACATATGGCTTCCAAGATGCTGAAGCTACATTTGCCTGCCAACCTGCCAATTTGTCTTTCAACACCTCAAGCTCCAAATTAAATAGCAAATACAAATAAAGAATAAGAAGACAGACTAATACAGTTGTATTTACTTTCCATATAAATCCTATGAGTGTGTGTCTCCCTCTAAGTGTAATCACAAGTCATTAAAATGTAAACATGACAATCTTCCCTCCTAAAACACTTACAATAAAATACCGGTACTTGAATACTGTGGAAGAACATCAGCAGCAATTCTATGTAGGTATGTTACTATTGTTGTAGTATACATATCTCCTTGTTGTTCTTCGATGTAAAATATAAATACCCTGTAATAAAGAAATATATATAAAATAAAGATAAGTTAGCTATACAGTACTAGAAGACTTATGTCAAGCTCACCTTCATTATAAACTCTGAGAAGCATCCAAGAAAATTCCAACATTGCATATCCCCGAGCTTCAGTGAGTGAGAGTAGCACAAAGAGACCATTTATCAGCTGCTGGGGGGACTGATTAAGTGAACACCGATCAGACTTCTGCAATTACAGGGTAAAAATATTTACAGCACCGAAAACAACAAACACAGGATGCAATAATATGCTGAACTAGTACAGGTACTGTATATCAAATATTAGGCAACAAATCAAATAAAAGTAATTATAAAAGCAAAATAGAAGATACTGTATAAATAATGTACCTGATGAGATAAGTACAGTACAGTACTTGTAAGTGTATAGAAACTGCAACAATGAACAAAGAGAGGTAGACAGAATAATTGTACTGTAGTGAGAATGATAGCTGCACTGTCTATAAGATTTCATCATTCAGCTTCCTATTGTATTATGGTACTGTAACTGTAATGAAGTGTATTGTATTATCTAATTCATTCATGTAAGTACAGTACAGTACAGTGTATACCAACATTGCAACACACATAACAATCTACTATCTTTACACAACTCACTTCTAGAACGTCATGGAGCATGACAAATAAGCTTGGTCTAAGGAAGATACTCTCAGGTTTATTTGGCAATCCTTTACTATCCCTCAACATTTTTTCCTGAAGAATCATTTTGCGTGTCACTCTCTCGGAGACCTTGTACATATCCTTGGGATCATTCAGGACTGTATAAGACTGAAAAAGTGATATTGAAACTTTGGTGAATCTTCCAGCAGAGTTAATTTGCCACAGAAGACATACACAAACATAAATAATAAAATCTGGAACAAACAAAATAAAATAAAGCAATATATTATGAGTAAACATTGGATACGATAAGGAAAAATAAGTGCAGATTTGTTCCTATAATCAAAAAGTTACAGTATGTATTAATTTCTTTTACTAAAAAAAAGGGAGAGTTTATATCTACTGTATTGTACTTCACCACATATTACAGTACTGTAGAGTGAAATAAAAAATATAAGAATCTGGATAATACAAAAATAAAACCTTTTGAACTATCTTAACAAGGAATGTGAAATGTGTTTGAATAGTTAATCAAAACCGTTAGATCATGAACATATGGGCCGGTATGTGAATACACCTTAATCACTACAGCAAAGTAATGTATTTTATATTGAATACAGGACACTTAGCAATGTATATCACCATATCTTACACAATGTTTTATGGAGCTAAGGGGTTAAATAATTACTTCAATAATCTAGAATCTTGATCCAGGTTTTTACCTCTAAAACAAATGGAATGGAGGATTCTAGACAACACACACACACATGCATGCACGCTCACACTATGGGTGACTGCAAAACTTGTTGGGTGAAGCCAGGCCAAGTAGTAAACAATACAACAAACACCATACCCGAGAGCCTGAGTGTAAGGAAGAAGTAGTGTGGTCCGCTGATTCAGGTGCAGCCATACTGTGGAGATGAGCCATCAAGGACATAACAGAGTGAGTGTCATGAGACACTACTGTGTTGGCAAAGTCCATTAATGTGTGGTCCTCCACCTGTCAAGAAAGAGTACAGTACACTCAACTACACAGTACAGTACTGTACACTCAACTACACAGTATTTAAAAATTCCTTCTTATGAATTTTGGTTTTATGTCTTTTGGTGTAAAAATGGTTATCTTCTTGAAACACTTGGATCAATGTAAATTATAAATTAATCAAAATTTAATCTTAGGAATTTAATATACAGTACAGTAGTCGTCTGTATTTGTAATAGAGGGTATACTCATTCACTTATAACAATGTAAATATTGCAGTTCTGATCATCTTGCAAATGGATTTTAGAAGCTAGTACAGTAGTCTAAATATTTGTGATCACAAAATACAAGAAGCAAAACTTGCCTTATCTTTGAGATGTTGATAAAGAAGGAATCGCTTGTAGAGTGTGTTGATAGGCCTGGCATATTCCTCCACTGTGTTGAGGGCAATCTCCCAGCGGACCATTTCTTGCATCCCATCAGCCAAGTCTCTTAGAGAATTTGCAATTCCATGAACCTATAATAGCAATAACATATATAAGTAAGGTTACTATAAGACTTAGGCTTCTCAAAATCACAGAAGTCAACATATATAAGTAAGGTTACTATAAGACTTAGGCTTCTCAAAATCACAGAAGTCACTGGAGCAGATGCATCCAGGGTACCTCAGATCATAAGACAAATGTATGACTGAATGCAAAAAGGGCCCTTTCAACAATCATACTCTAATAACTGAAGTTTGTGTGGTGACTTATGCTCTCTCCAAAACATCTAAGCAAACATAACCTCTCGGTGCTCCCCTGGCCACTGACGCCATCCCTCATGTCCCCTTCTTACCATACACATCCATTTCTCTTATTCCAGCAATACCACCTAATGCCTCTCCTAATTTCTTGTCAAGTTTATATTCCTCACTTCTGCAATCATCAGCTATCAATATCATCTTTTCACTCTTATTGTACAGTACTATCCACCAATTCAACTACTTGCTAGGCTATACTGTACACACATACTCAACCAACCAGTCTTCCTGTATACAGATCCTTTGCTCTCTTTTTCTCTGTACCTACCCCATGCTCTATCTGGTCAAGGCGGCGTGAGAGCAGCTCAAACATAGCAAGTATCTTTCGATCTGCTGAAGGGATATAGGAGCCAAAATTCATTTCTAATTCAGAAGCATTAAAAACCTGAAAGAAAGGAGATAAACTAATTAATTCCAAGAGGAGAGGCATATGTGTGTGTACAGTAACAAACTTTAAGCCATCTAGAATACTGCATCAAAATCAATTTGTTATTATAAACAAATTGTGATCATTTGAGCCAATTAGTTCTAGTACTGTAATAAAAGATACAACAAATAATTATGTCATGAATTCTGCCTTCAACACGGTCACCTCTATTCAGTAAGTACAGTCCTGTATAATGTACCATGAAGTGGACTATTGTAGTATTAAAGTGGTTACAAAACTGTTTCTGAATGTAGTCATAATACACTTACTTGTTCACTAATGAGGCCGATGAACTTGGCCACCCCCATGCCAATCTTTCCAATGTCAATAAAGCCCTGCAGAGCCATGCCAATATCACCAATGAGAGGAGTCAGCAAGTCCAGTACCTCCCTCTCTGTAAAAATCAATTCTTAGTTATGAATAACCACATCTCTATTTCCTTACAACAGAGCTAAGTAGTATATGAGTAGTATACATGCAGATATCAAATTTTGATTAACAGATCCTTAATCAGCATGTTCAGGAGTACTTATACTGAGATTTTGAACAAAATCTATTTTTGGCCGAAAATGACAAAAATTGTAAGTCTAATTTTGTAAGTCTAATGCCTTACAGAATTATTGGTCAAAAAAATGATTTTGCTCAAAATCTCAGTTTAGGTACTCCTAAACTTGCTGATTAAGGATCTGTTGACCAAAATTTTATATCTGGATTATTGCTTGTTCAAATGGCTTTTAGAAAAATTTAATTACATTTGCAAGTCATTTGAATAAGTAATAATGCAGATATCAAATTTTGGTCAACAGGTCCTTAATCAGCATGTTCAGGAGTACCTATACTGAGATTTTGAACAAAATCTATTTTTTGGCCGAAAATGACAAAAATTGTAAGTCTAATGCCTTACAGAATTTTTGATAAAAAAAATCGATTTTGTTCAAAATCTCAGTATATGCACTCCTGAACATGCTGATTAAGGACCTGTTGACCAAAATTTGATATCTGCATTATTACTTGTTCAAATGGCTTTTAGATAATTGAAATTACTTTTGCAAGTCATGTGATTTTATCAAGATTTATCTTATCCACGTTTTCATTGTGGATCTACATGAAATAAATATATATATATATATATATATATATATATATTATTGAAACATGCAAACATTTCTATAAATTTGGGGGCCCACAAGTAGGTAAATCCGGCCCTGGGTGTTAGCATGCTGGGGACTCACGTGCAGGTCTCTCATCAGGCCTGTAGGTTAAAAATATAAGTTTGTTTCATCATTATTCCTACTGTACTTTATGAAGTAGTAGTTTTACTTCCTAAAAAAATATGATCAAAAGAACCAATAACCCCCACTTCATTATAGCTATAGTTAAGAAATGTACGTAATACTGTACCTAGGGCTAAGGCATTTAAACTCTCGTTAGCTGACGTTGATGATGGCACAGTCAGCAGGCTGACTATTGCCACTGCCATCCACCACCACTTCCACCTCATCTTGACACTTCAACAGCGGGTGTGTGTATTAAGGAGTTCACCACCCGTCACACTAACTTTCCTGTAATAACATAATGATACAAGATTAAAAGACACAATACTGTACAATAGGCTACAGTAGACTACACTGTAGGCCAGAAATAAAAATTTTGTGCAAACACCGCCAGACTTTCAGTGTATAATGTACTGTACTTGATACCTAAATTAAATATTTTGTAGTGTATCCAGTACTGTACTCTGCCGTCTTTACTGTGCCCAGTACCTCAATGGAGGCACTTTTCCACAAAGATACAGTATTGCTCACAGTAAATCTTTATACTTTGTAAACAAACTCAACCTCAAAACATAGTACAAAAGCAGCCAGTTTTTGCAGGTAATCCTAACTGCAAATCAACCATACACAAAGTACACCACTCAGTCTCTAAATAACCTCTTCCTGGCCGGCTGTAGCCGTCAGTAGTCGTACACTTCGGGCTGTGGTTCATGGTTAGTACCTCTTATGGTGCAAACTTTATAATACACAAAGCTTAACAAAGTTATTGTAGTGGATTCCTCCCCTACAAACGCTGTTTGTCGCTGAGTAGCCGACCCCGCGAATTCCCCAGTGTATGCCTCGTGGTCTAGGTCAACCAGCGCCGCCTTACATAACGGAGGTCAACTATTAAGCCACGCCTACCTCCGCTATATAAGACCTGACCTCGTGGTGACCTATCTCTTTCTACCTACAGCCAGTCTTCAAGTAACACCACCTCCTCCACTCCTGCCTGGCGGCCCTCGCTCCCGCCAGCGACCATGGCGACCCACAAGCTGGTCCTCCTCTGAGCACCCTCACCAACCAGCTCTCTACATCACGCTTGTAACCATGCTGCCTTCCCAGCACCAAGCTGCACTGTACATCCAATACAACATGTATACAGAGAGCACATTGTGAGTTTCCTTTCTCCATCCCATCCTGAGTGTGAACCAACATCTCGTGCCCCACATTATCACTGCTGCCATAACCTACAAGAGATAAATATCACTTTGTGAAGCGAGATTAGAATTTTGAATAAAAATTAGAAAATAAAACCAAACATTTATTGTAAATATGCAGTTATATAAATTTAAAGGAGTTAGACTTATGAACAAGGGGAGGTTAAAGTAGGAGGCAAGATATATCGCGGTCTACCCTTTACCATTCTCTAAACGTTTTCTGTGAACAGTTGTTAACTAAACAGCAGGCGCCTTGTTCTCGCTGTGGCAACTCTTAAAAAAAATGGTTATAAGGAAGAGTTATACTCCCTTATTAGATATTTCTTCAACTAGATACGCTCTTCCTTATTTGCCCCCCTACCGAGGAAAATAAGTCAGTGTTCTTAACAATTTTGTCAAGGGTTATTTTGAAGCTCTGTACTGTACTTACCAGGCAAGCATGGGGACAAAGAGGCGGTTGATGCTGCCGCCCACTTCACCGCCACCACCAGGATGTTTATAGCAGGAGGCACCAGGTCAGCTGGCGGCAGTGTTGCATGATAAGTAAATTGCTATAAAATTCGCGATAATCATTCAGGGTACTGACCATTTGCTTTGAAATTAAAGTTAATTTTTACCAAGCTTCAAAATTTTTGAATATATGCATCTAACTTTACGATACTTTACGATAATTACATGTCAACTTGTTAACATGTGTGATGACTCTGTATTACGATTTACGTCGCCAGTTTAGTCTATGTATACTTCTGCTCCCCCCTTCCCTACCCTCTCACACCTTCCCTACCCTCTCACACCTTCCCTACCCTCTCACACCTTCTTCCCCCTTCCCTACCCTCCTCTACTTATGCATTCCCTATCCCATCCTCACCCCCCCCCCCTTTACCCCTTCCTCACCACTTCGTCCCCTTTCCCTACCCCCTCACCTCTGCTTCCTCTTTCAAACTCGATGATATCAAAAGCACCTTAACAAGCTTAACCATGGAGGTAGGGGGGGGAGGGTATTGCTGTCACGAGGCGACTGTAGCATTTTAGTGCTTTTCCAGATCCCTTTCTCTCCTCTCCTCTTCCTCCCACTTCTCTCTCCTCCATCAGGACCTCCACACCCTGACACTGGATGGGCCAACTGGCTGGATGTCTGTTGCTGACACCAGATAGATCAGATCACAGTGGATGGAACATATGACACTGAGTGAATAATTTAACATTGAATAGATCAGCTGACATTCACTATGTCACGTGGTACTCACTAAGTGTGCGTGTGTTTAATTTAAAAACGTGTGCACAGAATAGGGGAGCGCACACGCACAATCCGTCTACACAGTAAAAATGTGCGTATGTATGATGCACGCATGTTCTGTACAAACAAATATGTACATAATGTACATTTTACCCCTAAAGCTTACGTATAAACTGAATGTAGCGAAGCGTGGAAGTGTATGACGCCTCACCCACAACAAGACGCTTGTTTGTAAACACTGTATAACCCCGATACGGCGACCTCTCTGCCACTCCGGGTGTTATCCTGTTGGGCGTTGTAAACGCTTTTGGGCTTAACCTTGCACAGGATGCAAGGGGATGCCCAATAAACTAGCCTTCTCGCAGGGCAAATTGTAAAAAAATAAAAAATGTCACACCACTCATACATAACCCCGGTATATTGGCTACTACCCCACGCCCCTTGTAACCCCCAGTGTAGTTACCCTTCCCAACACACTCCTTATAACCCCCGGTGTAGTTACCCTTCCCAACACACTCCTTATAACCCCCGGTGTAATTACCCTGGGCCTAACTCCCCCACCACCCCAGTACACAGGTGCCTCTCCCCTTGGTCATGGCACACCATTAATTAAGTCCGTCACACGACCATCCTCATGTTTTCTTAGACAGGAAATACCTGAAATGGCGGTAATGCGATTTTAGTTTCGTTTCTCGGTGCCAGCGGCTGTAGTCAACAAGGCCTCGCCGAGTTGGTCTCCCGTATGAATATCCTGCGTCGGTCTCAAGACACCCGTGGTTTGTCGTCTTCAGTTAGGATTATCTCCCTCATGACAACTCTATCGTGTTCCATTTCCCATTAATGAAAATCTAAGCGTACAGGAACTTATAAGTCGGTCGGACAACGATCGTGTAGACTTAAGCTGCCAGAAACGGGATACTACACCATGTTAAGCAACTGAAAATCCGCCCCGCACCTCTTACTTCACCTGATGATTAAACACCCTAACCTAACTAAACTAAACTAAACCTAACCTAACCTAACCTAACCTAAACCGAATCTAATCCAGTCTAACTTAACTTAATCCTCCCACAGGTAGCTTTAGAGTGTTTAATCATCAGGTGAAACAAACTGGATGAGGAAATTATGCTTGAGGAGGTACAAGTGTCAAACAAGTAGACGGTTTTACTAAAAAAAATACCATTCTTCAGTACCAAGTTCTGATAGAATGATTACTGACTACAAGTGAAATAATTACTTAGTGGGTCATTGATCTTATTCGATACGTAATGGAGTTTGCGATATACCGTAGCCTAGCGGTCTACCTCACCTTGTTCTGGAAGGCCTTGTTGTGTTGTGTTTAACCTAGTTTATATATTTTTAACTTCGGTTCAGATAGAAAGATCTGTAAGCAAATATTACAAGGATGAAAAATTGTATCACATTCATTGCTTATTTAAGGCGTTGTGTCACATTTAAGATTAAACACAGCAGCTTATAGGTTAAAGGGGTAGCAACTGTAGCCTACTGTGACTTTTAAAACGAACGAGAACTTAAAGGGCGACCATGCGAGACAGTAACAGCATAGCTCTACGTATATCAAGTTACTTAGCGATTGATCACAATCTAAGGTTGTATAAACATAAATGTATAGCCATTAGTGCTTTGCCACGCAACTTTAAAACAGAAGTTCCCAACACTGTGCCCTGGTGATGCTTAACTGGTTGGGAATCTTCTTTAAAAGTTAATTTTGGTTTTAGAATTTTAATTATCACAAAAGAACAGGAAATCAAATAACTGTATTCGTGATAGATGAGGATGTATTTATTGGTGCAGTTTGTTGAAGCCATCAAGTATTCTACTCTAAAATAAAAACAATATATATATATATATATATATATATATATATATATATATATATATATATATATATATATATATATATATATACTGACAGTATACCGTAATAACAGATTCCAGTGTCAATCCGTTCATGTATATATTTAAATACTGTACAGTCTATACTTGTCTCTGTCCATAAGCAAATGCCGACATACGGTACATATATTCATTGACAGAAACGTGTATCCTGAGCGTACTGTATATACAGTATACTGAAGTGTACACGACGTACTCGTCACTCGAACGCAACATTCATGCGTCGGAAAAAACCCTTTCTCATTCGTTGACTCTGCTATATATTAGATATTTCTTACAACTGATCACGTGCTACGCATGAGCGGTGGGGGGTGAACAGAAGGAGAAATGTAGGAGGAGGAAGAAAGGGAAGCCAAGAAAGAGGGGAGAAGGTCAAGTAAAGTAGAAGAATAGACATAATGAGGTAAATATCGAGAGTATACACCGGTCAGCATGTCTTTGTTGTCAGTGTACCGGATGTGAAGAACGTTCCCTGCTACAGCCTCGATAATCCTGGACATGTATCACTGTCTGGATCCTAGTTCATGTCCTTATCAGTGCAACGCTTAATTAAAAATGTAATTCCATCTGTATATAGAAACAATTACTTTGGAATAATGTATTGTTTTGTGTTATCTTTGGAATTGATGTTTCAGAAAGTTTGTTGAAAGTAAAGTTGATGAAGTGCATAGGACAGCTGTAACCCTGGATAAATATTAGTAAACAAATGGTCAAAGAGACAAACGGAAGTGGGCAAGAAAAATAATGGAAAAAAGAGAGGCAGAGGAATTTGTGGGCGAGACAAAGAAAGAGATTAGTGTTGTCATGGCAGACTTAACTAACACAGTTCCCAAAAGATGTCACAAGATTTTTTTTTATCGCTTCACGGGCAGCACGACAGCTGTTATATGCTGACAGCAACAAGGGTGTTTGACTCAGGGATAACTATACCGAGA